TCACCTCCCACCTACTAGCGATGGCCTCCAACCTACGAGCAATGGCCTCCCACCTACTAGCGATGGCCTCCAACCTACTAGCACCAATCTACAGTACTAGCGATGGCCTCCAACCTAAGAGCAATGACCTCCAACCTGCTAGCGCTGGCCAGCAATGGCCTCCAACCTACTAGCGATGCCTCCACCCCACTAGCAAACGCCTCCAACCTACCAGCGATGGCCTCCAACCTACTAGCAATGGGCGATGGCCTCCAACCTAAGCAATGGCCTCCAACCTACAGCGATGGCCTCTCAGGTTGCAACCTGAGAGCAACAGCCTCCAACCTACTAGCGATGGCCTCCAACCTAAGAGCACTAGCCTCCAACCTACTAGGGATCGCTACAACCTACTGGCGATGGCCTCCAACCTACTACCGATGGCCTCCAACATACTATAGCCACGGCCTCCAACCTACTAGCGATGGCCTCCAACCTACTAGCGATGGCCTCCAACCTACTAGCGATGGCTTCCAACCTAAGAGCAATGGCCTCCAACCTACTAGCGATGGTCTCCAACCTAAGAGCAATGGCCTCCACTAGCCTCCAACCTACTAGCGATGGGCCTCCAACCTAGCGATGGCCTCCTAAGAGGCCATCCAACCTACTAGCGATGGCTTCCAACCTAAGAGCAATGGCCTCCACTAGCCTCCAACCTACTAGCAATGGGCCTCCAACCTACGAGCAATGGCCTCCACTAGCCTCCAACCTACCAGCGATGCGCCTCCAACCTAAAAGCAATGGCCTCCAACCTACTGGCGATGGCCCCCATCCTAAGAGCAAGGGCCTCCAACCTACTAGCGCTGGCCTCTAACCTAAGAGCAATGGCCTCCACTAGCCTCCAACCTACCAGCAAACCTAAGAACCCGGCAACTGTTTCATTCTGTCTCCCATACGGCGGGCCAACTGTTGGACCTCGGCAACTTGCCAGTGGCTCTCCTCAGATCGCCGAAGTGGAAAAACTGACCATCGCGAAGTGAAAGTGCTATGGCCATGTCGCAAGCAGTTCATAAAGATACCGGAGGCGGAGCTGCAAATGACCAGAGTCTTCATGGGATCGTGCCAGCGGGTTTGGTACAACGCACGCACTATCTTGCATGCCCATGAACGCGTAAAATTGTGGAATGAAATAAGAACTTGCGCGAGAGTGTGTGTGTGTGTGTGTGTCAACCTCTGTAACTAAGAGTTTTGAATGCAGGGGGATCAGGGACGTTTGGCTTGGCCTGATCCAACGAAGCTCCAGCCATTCGTCAGGATATTCTCGAGGGACGCCTTGAGAACGTACCTGCTTTCAACGCACTGACTCCAATGGTCCACCCTGCCGCTGTTCTGTGGTTTCATGGTTCTTCTTCACGCTACTTCCCCCAAGCCCTGGGTTCTGCCGCTGCACCGCGTCGATTCGTTCGCCACCGCTGAGCTCTGCAGTCATGCGCAAACAATTTGTTTAACATTTCAAGTGAACTGACCTTCTCGCCTTGCTGTTCCCTCACCTTTTTCCACTTGGGAACTGAGTCAACGGAAAATAGAGTGTGAACCGCTCAGTCGTCCCACTTGGGTGCTGAGTGTGATCCCCGGGCGCTGAATTCATGCTGGAATCGTGTAACAGCTTTTCCTCTTCCACCATTCCTTAGATCTTCTTAAAAGCTTTAGTTTCACTACTGAATTAACTGCTTACACGCCGCCGGGCTTTCACGGAGAATAAACCCCGATGTGTTTTCTACCCCAAACACCCCAACCCCTCCCACCCACTAATTGGGGTAACAGAGGGAAATGGTACAAGACTAAAGTCCCGCCGCTCCCTAACTATTGCACTTAATTCATTTCTGCTAAGTAATCAGTAATTCTAGAGTGCTCAGTATTCATACACACACACACATGTACATACACCTCCCTATCCACCACTTTCCTCCTTGCGTTTTTGGTCGTTCCTTGGGCTTTCTCTCAGGCTTTTTAGGTTGTTCTTGAGGCTCGTTTCCCTACCCCAGTCAAGGGCTAAGTATTCACTTTTTCCTACTCCTACCTTTCTCTCTTGCCCTCTTGGCGCTGCTCTTTCTGTGTTTCTTTCTTTCGTTTCTAAGGCTTTTTAGGTACCTATTCAGGTCCTTCACGCGAGCGCCGCAAAGCGGCGCCGTGTGTGCGTCAACCTCTGTAACTATAAGAGTTTTGAATGCAGGGGGATCAGGGACGTTTGGCTTGGCCTGATCCAACGAAGCTCCAGCCATTCGTCAGGATATTCTCGAGGGACGCCTTGAGAACGTACCTACTTTCAACGCGCTGACTCCAATGGTCCACCCTGCAGCTGTTCGTTGATTTCATGGTTCTTCTTCATGCTACTTCCCCCAAGCCCTGGGTTCTGCCGCTGCACCGCGTCGGTTCGTTCGCCACCGCTGAGCTCTGCAGTCATGCGCAAACAATTTGTTTAACATTTCAAGTGAACTGACCTTCTCGCCTTGCTGTTCCCTCACCTTTTTCCACTTGGGAACTGAGTTAACGGAAAACCAATGTCAGAGTGTGTGTTGACACCTGTCTCTAAGGTTTGTACCTGGTAAGTCTGCCGTAGGTTCCACTAGATGGCTGGGTGCTACTAGTAGCTTCTGGCCTATACTACAAGGAACCAAACTGAAAAAACACAGCGCGAGTCAAAAAGGAGGCAGGGGGATCAGGGACGTTTGGCTTGGCCTGATCCAACGAAGCTCCAGCCATTCGTCAGGATATTCTCGAGGGACGCCTTGAGAACGTACTACCTGCAAAGCCTGTTGAAACTGTTGAATAGGCTGTCCACTGCAGTGTTTTGCACTAATCGACTAATTAGTGACCTGCGAGCAACCTTGTTCAACATCTACAAGTCTATCGACTCTGCCACCTTTCGGTTTTCGTTCTTTCAGTTCATCAAGTCAAGGGGGACTTCACACTGATCCTAGCTCTTGCGAGCAACCGTCCAAGTGTGTACTCGCCACAGAGTCCCACTGAGGGCTGTGGTGTGATCCCCGTCGAGGGGCACTGCATGTGCATCCTGGCGGTTCCACCTTGGCATTTCGTTAGATTACTTCTGGCTTGACTGTTCTGCTCGACATCAATGATTTCACGCCGCAGGGCTTACTGAGACTCATGATCCAGACTGGATTTGCACCTCCACGCATGTGTCTAAGTATTCACCTGTACAGTACAGTCTGCACGTCTAGGTAATCACAGGCGGGGCTTCGGACTCAGACATGTCAGCGCGTGTGCTTTTCATGCTCTTGGGTTCTTTCTCTCTTTCTGTTGCTTTTCGTTTCTTGAGGCCTTTCCTTAGGTTTCAGGTACCTTTCAGACAAGGGTGCGCCGGCACAAATCGGCTTCCCTGCCCCTGGGCCGCCGTTGCTATCCAACCCGCTATTTAGGGTAACAGAAGGAAATCGCACTCAACACACTTGTGTGTTGGTGCCTTTCCTTCTGTTTCTCCTGTCCTGCTTCTAGCTACCCGGGCGGTGTAAGACAAAAGCCCCGCTCGCTAACTACTTTCGTTTAACTAAGTGGGCCTGGTCACTACACCTATCTTTCTTTCTTGCCCTTTTCGTTTGCTCTTGTTTTGTTTCTTTTTCTGTCTTTCTGAGGCTTTTTCCCGAAAGCATTGCGAAGGGTTCTTCCGGAAAATCCTTTGAACACTGACACTTCGACACGCACACTGACACACTTACACTTCGACACTCACACTGACACACACACACACTGGAAGAGCGAAAGCATCCAAGTGCGAAGTATGCCAGGGTCAAAGTATGCAAGTGTGAGTATGCAAGCAAGTGTGAGTATGGAAAATATGGAAAACTAGCACGGGAGATGTCCTAATGAAAAAACATTTCCCCACTTTATAAATTCTCTCTTAAAGGCGGAGTGTGGGACGAACAGCGTCAACCGAAAGTGCAACCCTCTGCGGAGATCGTGCGTGTGGAGTGCGCGAAATGCAGGCGAGAGTGCGATTTGTCCGGTCCGCGCGCAACCCTCTGCGGAGATCGTGCGTGTCGAGTGCGCGAAATGCAGGCGAGAGTGCGATTTGCCGGCTGTGCGCGCAACCCTCTGCGGAGATCGTGCGTGTCGAGTGCGCGAAATGCAGGCGAGAGTGCGATTTGCCGGCTGTGCGCGCAACCCTCTGCGGAGATCGTGCGTGTCGAGTGCGCGAAATGCAGGCGAGAGTGCGATTTGCCGGCTGTGCGCGCAACCCTCTGCGGAGATCGTGCATGTCGAGTGCGCGAAATGCAGGCGAGAGTGCGATTTGCCGGCTGCGCGCGCAACCCTCTGCGGAGATCGTGCGTGTCGAGTGCGCGAAATGCAGGCACTGGCAACTTTCTAGTGCTACTTCAGTACGCGGAGCAATCTGTGGAGCTGGAAGCTGAGAACTGGCGACTTTGTAGTACAACTTGAGCGCGCGGAGTCTCTGGGGAGCTGGAAGATGAGAACTGGCGACTTTGTAGTACAACTTTAGTACGCGGAGTAATCTGCGGAGCTGGAAGCTGAGAACTGGCGACTTTGTAGTACAACTTTAGTACGCGGAGTATCTGGGGAGCTGGAAGATGAGAACTGGCGAAGTTGTAGTACAACTTTAGTACGCGGAGTATCTGGGGAGCTGGAAGATGAGAACTGGCGACTTTGTAGTACAACTTTACCCTAAGTCACCGAAATTAGTAAATTTACATTTTTATTGGATTTACGTAAATTGATGAATTTAGGTGGCAAAAAGTGTAAATGGGTTAGTAAATGTAAATTTGATTTAGGTACAACCTAAATTTATTTAGGTTGGTCTTCACTAAGGGTTTTTGCTATTTTTCATTACTTTTTGATTTGCAAATATTCAATCTAAAACGCATCTTTTGAAGAAAGTAATTTGTAAAACATATAGCCACAAGTAGAGACATTTGGATAAAACCACAAGCACACACACACTCAGGTATAAGCACACAGGAAAAACAAGCGCAAGAAAAATAACTTGGGTATAAGCACCATGAGCTTTCCATCCTTTGTCCTGTCCAGGACTTGGTTCACTATCTTGCGCTGTTCTTCTGTGCGTCCCTTCTTCATGCTCAAAGTCTTCTTGCAAGCCTGCGCAACATAGTCTGGCAGAGAGCCCTCAGTCAACAAGGCCTTGAACTTGTTGTCCTTCGACCTGTCCTTCTTGGCCTCATCGCACTAGCACTAGAAGAAGTCTGCATTGTCCTGCTCCTCCTCCTCCTCCTCCACATTCTCTTGGTTGATCCTCTTCAACTTCTGGTGCTTCCTCCTCCTGATCCTCCTGCAACCCTGCTGCCCAGCCATGAGCTGCTGGCTTCTTCTTTGGCTGTACAGTTTCTCCACTGGCAGCAGGCCTTTTCAAAGAGCATGCCTTTGGCTTTGGCTTGCTCTTTCCTTTTGCTTTGGGCTTCTTCCCTTTAGGGCTCTTTGCTTTTGGGCTCTTGGATTTTGGGGTCTTTGCTTTGGCAGCTGGCCTTTGCTTCACAGGTGTACTGGGCTCTTCAACTACACCATCCATCGTCCTTCTCCTCAGGAGTGACTTGGCCCATGGGAATCCCTTCCTCTGCCATGCCAATGCCAACAAGCTACTGCACCTATCCTTCAAACCTTTCAAAGCTCTTTGAGATCAATCCAGCTGCAAAAGTAAACAACAACCAATAAGCCAGCTGTGCAGTAAACTCTCAACAACTTCAATTTGAACAACATACAATGCTGATCAACTCTTTGTGCAAAAGCATTACCTTCTCAGGTAAAGGATAAACCAACTTCAATTTGAACAACATACAATGCTGATCAACTCTTTGTGCAAAAGCTTTACATTCTCAGGTAAAGGATAAACCAACTTCAAATTGAACAACATACAATGCTGATCAACTCTTTGTGCAAAAGCTTTACATTCTCAGGTAAAGGATAAACCCACAAGAATGCTAGATATCTTTTTGCTGACAATATGATGC